ATTCTACTCTTACGGACCGACTCAACACATTTTTGATAATGTTTTGGTTATGAAGCGTGTCATTGCTAGACTCACACCTTTTGCAAAATCGACGTCCACCAGAGGTCGCAAAAGAGACGCTTGACAAAGTAGCCGAAGGCCCTTTATTACTACTTTTATGAATATGGATTTCGTAACTGTCTAACAGTCTTTCGAATGGGAGGGCTTAATCGAGGCTTATAAGAAGCGTCTGAAAAATTGGTCTAAGTGTTGTCTGTTTAATGCATGCTTGTATTGACTCAAGAGTCTGTGTTAGAGACGATAATAAAGAAGTGTACTAAGAAACGTAAAAATGTTATTTTGTTAGTCTAGGTGAAATTTGTTTTCAGAACATGGAAAGCATTATATGGACCGAAGTCATCTATTTTCAAAAATATCTCTCCACTAACTGAAAGTTTTGTTTAAATATTATGAATTTTTTTTTTTTGAAATATTAGGGAACAAAATGCTAGAAAAAAGTGGGTCTGGTCATGACGCACATTTGCTTAAACCGGTCGCATTTTTAATCAGCGTTGCTTAATACTGATCAAATTACTCTTTTATCTATTTTATCTGCTTTTATTAGATAAATAAAATATTTGGCTGCTTATCTGCCATACTGAAGATATCCAACTAATTATAATGAACGCACAAACTAACAAATATGCGAGTATGTGATAATTTTTCGATCAAATTGCAGTACGTAATTTGAGGTTAGCGTGTTTCGAGAATTGCTTTGTAAGTGAAAGGTGTCACTCAAGTGAAATGAAGCGGGTTAATTAATTGCTCAATGGTTTCAATAAGTGTTGAGCACTTTACTTGAATAATTAAATGCAAGTGATGCGAATTTGAAGTACTTTTATCGTGAGTTCTCAGAAGCCCCATCAAACAATATGTGTTGGTAGGAAGAATAAACTTAAGTCGAATATATCTTATGAAAATTAAGGCAGTTTGCTTTAAACTTTGCCTTGATCTGTTTTAGTAAAAAAAAAGCCGATCAGGCGGAATCGTAGAGGAAGTGCATGCCCATTTTTTCAACTCATGTTCTACACAATATTTTTAGCTTAAAACTTAAATTTATACTGTCGGAATATATGTTAATAAGTGATAATAAACTTAAAGCGCTACCTCTTTACTAGTCGCAGAATAAAAAAAAAAATCTATAAAACAAAATAGACCGACCCTTAGACTACTTTTCCAAGAGACCACAGATATTATGTTAATCACCAAGCGATAAGAAATATTAATATGATTGGTATAACACAAAAACGCTTTACTTAGCAATTGTATACCTATACAGCCGCTGTTCATTGAAATAGGCACGCTATAAAAAAATCCGCTTGAGCAATCAAAATCAGGTTCTAGTAAGTAAAGCTATTTTATTTGGCAAGAAATCTTTAAGAAAGTTGGTATGAATTATTGTCAAAGGCAATTGTAATTGCTAAAAGTTTATGGCTTCGGCAGCGAAGTTAGTATTTTTTAGTGTATTTTAACAAGCTTGTGGAATTTTTGTTTTAGAAATTTACGCATGTACGTGATATAGAATAATTTTTATTTATTCTTATGTAAATACCTGAAATCGTTAAGAAAATAATGACTGAGGTAAGAAGTGACTCAAAATGTCGCATTTGGACGTAACAAAAAGTACTAGCAGCGACATGGTAATGTTTCTATTTTACTAGCCACATAGAAGTAAAGTATAAGCCATTTTAATGTTACATACTTAAAAAAAAACACAGAAACAAAAAATTTAATGGAGCATATTTGTTATCATTCGAAAGAACATTCTTTGGTATATATTTTTTAAAGACTATTTCGACAAGTCGTTTCATACGTCAGTCCCAGTTGGTGCGAATGACGCCGAATCGACTCTTCACTTTTTTTGTGTACACTCTCAGCTATGGCTACTATAATTTTCGACCTTAGAACATAACTTTTTTAGCTCTTCCCTCATTGTTACCTTCACGTACCTCTTTAATTTTGAGAACAAAAATGTCACAAGGAGTCAGGTCTGGGGAATACAGGGGTTACGCCGCCATCAAGGTTTTGTTTTTGGACAAATATTCGTGCACAAGTAACAATGCGTGAAAAGGGACATTGTAATAGTGTAAAAGCCAATTTTAGTCTTCCACAAATGCGGTCGTTTTTGGGGGGATTGCTTCGCGCAAATTACGCATCACTCACAGGTAATATTGATATTGAGCTTTGGTTTCTACGCCATAACCATAAGCCCATGACTCGTTACCAGTTATTAACCGCTAGAGCAGATATAGGTGGTCGCGGACCCAGAAATTTGCTGCCTCGGTCTTTAAAATATTATAGACCTACTTTCACAATTTTTGGGCGAAAGATATTCATTGGTGATTGATTTTTATAATGTAAAGGGAAGAATCAGTTAGAATTTAAAGTTGTGTTTTATGGGAAGTGGGCGTGGTTATTGGTTTTATAGGTTTTCGTTGAATGGCTTTTTGTGAGCGCGACAGTGCTCCCATTACGCTCATCTGTAATACCGAGCTCTTTTGGGTGCCAGAGAATATGTCTTAATTTTTACTTAAGTTATCGCTTGCACAGACAGACAGACAGACAGACAGACAGACAGACAGTCAGATTTAGATTCCTTCTACAAAAACAACATCTTATGATAGATGTATAGAATCGATTTTAATATATAAAATAGGGCACTAAGTACATATTTTCTCGTCTAGGCCAGCATAAATAATAAATAAAGATATTATGTGACAATTATTACAAAAAATGAGCATAAACTGTTATAAGCTAATAAAGATACGAGAGAGTAGGTTGTAGCGGCTAAACATGCTAATTTTCAAAGCACAACTTTATTACATATTTACACTGACGCTCAAATAGTTGCACACATATGTACATATGTATGTATGTATATACCCCATAACAAATATTGACTACAGATAGACTTCAAGTGAATTCAATTTGCGTGTTTCTTCAATTGCTGTCGACTCTTATCTATATTTAGAGTGTGATGGGCTTGGAAATTGCTGAGCTAAGTTTAGGTATAATCTCTTTATTGTTGATTTAAGTATTTACAACAAATAAGTACTTAGAACACCATATAAATATATTCTTCAATTATTATTGAAGGTTAAGCAATATAACGGAAATAGCAAATCTTTTACATGCTGTAGAATTAGAAAAAAAATTAATACAAAGTATAAAAACTTGATTTTCGAACAATTTTGCCAGGATGAACAGGGTCACGAAGTTTCTAAAACCCAGAAGGTAACGTCGAATACTCTGAAATTTTACACACGTTTTTTGCTTCTTAAAAAGCTGCTCATTTGTCGAAACCAACGAAATCAGATCACTATAGCATATAGCTATGATACAAATTGAACGGTCAAAATTAAGTTCTTGTATGGAAAATTTTCACTAAGAATGAATTTTTAATGAATTATCAATGAAACCAACTCAATTAACTTTCCTTTCCCTATAGTTCGCACCCGTCGAAACAGCAAACAAAGTCATTTCAAACAGAGTCAACTTGTTGCTTCCTGCAAGCAGAGTATGGATAATCGTTATAACAGCAACAAAACAAAATTACGTCCTTGTATGCAAACTATTTTATCTGTGTAGGATAGTAATACTTCGGTGTTAACTTTTTTTTTGTTTTTTATTTTTTTAATTATTGACTGCGGCTTGACTGCCGACAGCAGCTAGAAGCTATTGTCAACAGGTCACAATTTATCGATGGTTGAACTTCAGTTGGCGAGAGACAATGGTAAAATCAAAACAGCGAACGCGCGCAGCACTCAGCTAACATATGCCCGTGGGCCTATCCAATCGTTGGTTGCTTGCTGGATCCCAAGCGCATAGTTTGCAATCATTAGCGTGCAAAATAGTAGAGAAAGAACAGCAAACAATGCGCTCAATCACGATTCCAGCGCTTGTGGCCAACGAATAAGTATGATAAACAATAAAAATAAAAAAACGGAAAAAATAACAATATTTCAAAGTCTGCAAATGCGATGGGGGCATTGAACCGCGGCAGTATCATAATAGCGTGCGCCACTTGCCAGGTAATTTCTTATACTTTTTTATTTGTGTTTTTAATTCGATTCTTTCGTGCGTTTCTTTTGCAGCATCGGCGAGAATATGCTAATGAATCAGGTAATGGAAGGCGACGAAGTCGGTCAAAGCAACAAAAACACCATAATAAGTGCTGTAGCTGCGGTATAAAGAAGCGGAACCAATAAACACATTCGAGTGGTAACATAAAAACAACAAAAACAGAAGGAGCAAGTGGAGAAGCAACTGACGTGTCACATTTACTTTTGAGGGAATGAAGAACGCATGCACAAGCGGCAAATAAAAAAAAGTTGCATTAAGGAGTGCCTACCACAATTAGTGACAGTGCCGTACAAATTTTACTTGTTCCCTCCAATCTATTTGCATAGTTAAAAGGTAGACCAAGTCTACATGCAAGCGAAATATTGCGCCAAATTTTGGCAAAAACCACAAAATCGAATAAAACTAGCGCAATGGCCAAACAATATAACGACCACAACAAAAAGCGTTGCCTAACGACGTAAACTTTGGCGCTCCTCGACTTTTAGCATTTTTTTTACTCTACTTTGCATTTTGGAAAACTCAGACCGCAACTAAGGTTGACAGACTTGTAAGTGTTTTGCATTTAAAAACGCTATGCCGCACCTCCCTCGGGAGTTGCATTGTTTGCCACAGCTGCCCAATGCTTCCACGTGTTCCGTTTCCGTTGTTTCGGGCCTGAGTTTACACTGGCGCTGCTTTCCCTGCTGCTGGCCGCCACTGCCATTGTACATTCTATTTTCTTAATTTTTTTGGACGCTGGTGATTACCGTGTCCTTCTCAAAATGTTGTTAATACAATGCATTAATTGATCAAGGTTAATCTTCACATATAGACGAGTGCATTATTGGGAAAACATAAACCAAAATTACCAAACAAAGCAAGAAAATTCGAGTACTTACCTCAAATTGTTTATATATCTGTTTGCGAAATTTTCCACACTTTCTGTTAGGTACGCCTCTTAAAATAATGCAATGCAAAAACAAAGTTGTTTTGCGCCGGCACCTTGAATGCACAATCTGCAATTCGCCCACACCGAAAATCACCTATCATCTGTGGCTGTTCACCGCCACCTGCGGAGGGGATTGTTTTGATTTCAATTTCCAATTGCTCGTCGCAACAATTTAATATGAAACCCCATCAACACACCAAACACTCAACATAAATCACAAATCATTTATAACCGTAAAAAAAAATACAAATTTGCACTTAAATTTCTTTATTTGCTAAATAGGATGCACTCGAAATTTCTTGCACATACACACGCTCACGTGTGGCGCTTCTTCACTACACCACATGCAAAGTAAAATTTCACTTTTTCACTTGACGAAAAGCATAAATTCTGCGCAATTTTTAGGTAAATTATATCAATCACTTTACGCGTTGGATGCTCCTTCTATCCGGGGAGCTACCTACTTGGACCACACGCTTTGTTTTGGTGGAAATCCTATTTACGACTGGCGGAGCTGCAGCGCCAAGGAAAAATCAACAACCGACAACTGACTAATAAGAAATTTGACAGAAGACTGACCGCCGCGGAACGTTTGTTTTTCCAATTCCAATTGGTGGATTTTGCACACGTACGGTGTTGCCAGCATAAAACCTGGAATGCAATTCCTATTAGAAAACTTAACTCCAGTTATGATGCGCTTTGGTGTTTAGAAATTTGTTTTTACTCAAATATGTGTCGCTCTATTTGTGAAATTTTCATTAAATATTGAATAATTCGTATGCCACGTTTACTGTGTTTCTTATAAATAAAATTCTTTGAAGTTTCCAGCATTATTAAATTTCAACAGGGTGTTGTAGAAGATAATTTTTAAAATAAAATTATACGAAGTACAGAGTGACTAGTTTTTTTTTTTAATTTTTTCTTATTAGGGTATGATTCTAAGTATATAAAGTTATATAGAATACATTTTTTGCTATTAAACTTATTTAAATAATAAATTATTACTAAAATAGATTTTGTCATTAAAGTAACTGTGCGTAGACATTTCTAATATTAGAAAATTGAGGTTAATTTAGAATAACCGGCAAAAATATTGAAGTCCTAGGAGAGGCGGTAAATCACGGCTGTTAATCCGGGCCAAAGCAACATATATATAACACCTCAGTATCTTAATCTCTCTGATATATTCTGATTCAAGAGAAAGACCCGGAAACGAGATGGCCATGGCGAATTGTCCAACCAAAGTTATGTTCGAAGTCTTCCCTGTATCTATAATGCTTAGGAATCCTTATGCTGTACACTTTAAACCATTATGATTAAATTCACCGAGCTTCTATTCAAGATGCTTAAATGGTAGTCAAAATCTCAACCCGAGCCAATCGTGACTAATTCAACGAACCACAGGAACAAACCTCCCATGACACTCGTGTCCAGAACAAACCAGAATTTTGATTCGTCCAAAGATTTTCATCTCGACAGCATTTCCTCTAAACATCTTATTTAATGGTTGTGATGAATTCTCTCCCTCTACTTCTTGCAATTGCCGGACAGTCAAGGAGGCAGTTTGGGCGCAGAAACGACCGGTGAAGCAGTAACCCAGCCGGTGTAGCTGACACCTTACCTGACAGCAACCTGAATAACAATTGGTTTCTTGAATAGTTTTATATCGCACTTTTCGAGAAATATCCCAGTATTTTCCGTCAGTGGCGATTTCTACAAGTCCTTTCCTTTTTTCGTAGTTCCGCTTGCATTGTGTGAGGCCCACAGCGAAGATCGATTCCCATGACAGTCGCGTGTACCTAACCGAAACGGACATGCATTTAAATCCAGCCAAGGACTTTCATTACAACAACAACAATAACGGTTCCAATCCTATTGGCCTGGTTGCCGCAACTTCTTGCGCAGTTACTTACCACTCTCCTTGCAGCATTTCTATAAGCACATTACGTTAAGTTGTTTGCTGACACATAAGTTTCGCGAAATAAAAACAAATTTTTTTACGTTAAAACGCTTAATCGATTTACTTAAATAATTATCTTATTGTTGCTTCAATATTCAGAAATCGGTTATACATATATTTGTATAAAAAATTCTTTTATATATTATATATATAGATTGAACAAAAAACATAAACAAAACCAATACAACGAAATGTGAAATAAAAAGGTAACTGTAAATAGGAAAACAAAAAATCAAATATATAGTTACTATAACTGTTTTTAGTTCAACACCTTTGCGTTTCGTTTGCTAGAATTTATTTTTATTGTTGTATTTTTTTTCTAATTATTTATAGCAACAATTCTGATTGGTAAAAAAACAAAACAAATACATTTTACATACAGCAACGTACAAGCACATAAAGAGTGTTACATTAATGCTTTTGTTTTTACTTTTCAATGCCCTTATTCTCGCATTTCTTCGGTCGAGTGTAGTTTGTTTTTTAACTGCATTTCCAATTCAAAAAAGTTTCTGTTTTTTTTTATGGTATTCTCAAAATTCAAATTTAAATTGAAATTTTTTTTTGTTGTTTTGTTTACTTAATGTACCGCTAATGTGCGCGTACGCGCTTTCGTGTATATAAATTTGTATGTATTTTTGTATTTTTCTGTGTATGTATGCGTTATGTTCTATATAATATGTAAATATGTACAATTTTAACGGCTACGCTTAATATTGATTTGGTATATGCTTGACAAGATTCTCACTTTTGCTTCGTTTCTTTGTTTCACTACCCACTTCCTCCTACTAACACATCAGTGTTGCTGTTACTGTTATTTATAACTTTTTCAACTGTTTTCAGCAATTTATTCTTTATCGCGCTATTTTTTGATTATTTTTCTACTTTACGTAATGTGTTGTTGTTGTATTCAACTACGGTGAAATGCGTTGCAATATTTGCTTTAATGGTTATTTCGTTACTTTCTTCTCTATTTGCTTGTCTGCTGTTTATTGTTTCTTTAAATGTTGTGATTTGTATTTGTGTCTGGGTGTGTGTGTTGTAGTTATTGTTTTCATTTTCAATTTACATACGTTTACTTGTTATTTGTTTCTTGCTTAATTTTTGTTGGACATTTGATGACCACAATAATTTTTCGAGCCTAAACCTAAATTACATAGCTATGTATATATATGTAAATATAGTTGTTTATATGTATGCATGCTTGTATATTCAGTTAAACTTAATTTTTAACCATCATCCATAGAATTATACCACAATCGCTTAACTTTAATTGTTGATTTTAGTTTTTTTTTGTTATTATAAATATACATTTACATATGTATGTATGTATGCATATATATTATTAAATTTATTTATTTATGAAATGATATTGACATTTGAGTAAAGTGTACTGTGTCGTCCATGTATGCTATGCGCTTGCAATCATCTCCTCCCACCTCCCCAACCAGTTGACGTTGCGTTATGCAACTAACAGCATTTGTCTCACATACACGCATGCACATACACATTTCTGTACTTTCATGTACATTTCTGCACATTTCTTAATTTCTTGATTTGTATTAGTGTGTTTATGTTTTGTTTGATTTATTGATGATGGTGATTTCTCATTGCGGCGGGGAGTTATTGGCTCAACATAAACATTTCTTACTTCTCAATTACAATTCACAACATATCCTATACTAAAAAACTATTTTTTGTTTTTGCTTTAGTGCTAATTTTTTGTTATTTTCTTATTGGTTGCTTGTTTGCTTGTATGAAAGTGTTTACAATTTAAGCCAAATCAAAAACAGTCAACATGAAATGAGCAAAAATCATATACAAAACTTATATAGACGATCACAATTAAATAACTAACGCACACTGGGCTGCAGTGTACAGCACCTTTTTTTGTTTTGAGTCCTTTTACATGCGCCTTCATCGTTCGTTACTTGCCATTATATATTATCGTTGTTATTGTTGCTGCAGTTATTGGTGTTCCATTGAGTGTTTACCGTTTAACGGTGTGCAAAACATGGATTTGCAGTCACCCTGCATCGTGTACTGCCGCTTTGGAGTTCAGTTGAGTTGAGTTGATTTGAATTCGGTTGAGTTGCTGCTGCGTTGGTGACTTCTATTTTGTAATATTACTGTGATTACACGAGCTTATAATGCCCTCATGCCCTCTTAACACACATCGGCTTCACCTCATATAATATAAATACAATACGATTTAAATCACAACAAAACTATTGCATATTCATATTCGTAAACGATAAGACACACAGAAATTACGAACATACAATATATACATATTAATATATCTATATCTTATTTTTTAATTTTTTTTTTTTTAGTTTTTCACCATTTCTTTGTTAGTTTTTTTTCATTTACTTGTTTATGTTTCTTTTTTTTATGTATATAATTTAAAGTTTATGTTATTATGTTCACCTATTTTTACGTCACAGTATAAAAAAGAATTTACAACTAATTTCTATTTTATTATTATTTGCTGAATATATATTATATCACTAGATTCATTACTCAATAAATTGATTAGTTATGATTCCAATTCATCGCTCTCTTTCTATAACTGTACTGTATAATTAATTAACGTGTAGATGAAACGTAAAACGTAAGAAACAAGAAGAAAGAAAAAAATACAAAAACGAAAAAAAATATATATAAATTTGAGTTATCGTTTTATATTAAAATTATTATTGACTAATTTACTTAGTGAGGTTTAACTAGTCGCCTGGATGCTCGGGGCAGGATCGATTCACCTCGAACCATCGATCGATGCAACTGCAAGTGAGTAACGCTTATTAGTGGAGAGTTTCAAATTGTTTGCGAATGGTGTGTTTACTTACCCTTTATGATAAATACATAAACACGGCAATCGTGCAATAATATCACCGGGATTCAAATCTTCTAAGCAAATTACACATTCGCCCTTGGCATCGGATAATACATCCTCTGTAAGGAATGAGAGGAGAAATCGAATGAATGGAAGTCTTTGGAATTAAATAAAAGTAAAATAGATAAAATTACATATGTAGGTATGCATGTATTTGAAAAATATGTGAGACCTAAAGCTAATGCGAGAGTAAATTAAATATAATAATCAATGAAAACAAAAAAACCAACAGCCTCGGAAGAGAGACCCCCCTTTTGATGGCGACCACGGCAAACGCATTAAGGATAACGATTTAAAGGCATGCACCTGGAATATCCGTTGCCTTAATTGGGTTGTTAGAGTGAAGGCTGTCATCACCGCCGTCCAAGAAATGCGAATGACGAGACAAGGACTGAGGCGAGTAAGTCCTTGTGACATTTACTACAATGGCCATATAAAGGATCGCAAATCCGGTATGGAATTCATGGTGGGAGAGAGCCTCCGTCGTCGAATACTGTCATTCATACCAGTGGATGAACGCCTAGCCACAATCCGCATTAAGACTTAAGTTCTTCAACATATCGCTCATTTGCGCCCACGTCCCGACGGCCTTCTATGAGCGCTTGCAGAGCAGCACCTGCCACGATGTCAAAATAATGCTTGGCGACTTTAACGCCAGGGTGGGCAACGAAGGACACAACAGTCGGTAAGTTCAGCCTCTACGAGGAAACATCCCCAAATGGATTGAGGCTAATCGAATACGCCGTGGACTGAAATATGGTTATCTGTAGTACTAGATTCCAGCATACAAAAAATCATTAAGATATCTGGTTGTGTCCGGATCGAAAAGCCACCAACCAGATCGATCATGTTTGATAGACGGAAGACCTGTCTCCAGTGTTTTAGAGGAGGCATT